TGCAAGAATTGAGTAGATATTTTTTACATCTTTACTATTTATGCAGTTCCTAAAATCTAAACATGCAATGTTTTATAATATAAATCCAATCGCTTTATAAAAAGCTAAAATCAAACATCCTTAAGCTAAATATGCAACTAACTGAATATGCAACTTGTTTCACTAAATATGCATATGATAGTAACTAACTTTCCATACACTGATCATAAAAAAGGCATCTCGTCAGAAACTTAAAAGTATCCTTAGAAACTTGATTAATTACAATCAGCAACCATTTCAATTACATCAAAAACCATTGTCATCAACCCACCAACTAAAAAATCATCATCCTGATAAAGTATTGTTCATCAAAAAACAACAAACGGTCAAAACACAAAAGATATTGTTCAACAACCCAACAAATCAACAACGAGATATACCCGCAAAATCCAACTCCGTCACAGGCTTGCTTTTCGCAAGAAACGCACGTGCCTTCTGTTCGTTTTCCTTCTTCAGTTCATTGATTTCATTAAGAACAATGTCAGCACAATATCGAGTGTGCATTTCCTTCATTTGTTGAGGATTGTCCTTCATCAACCCGCAATCCCAACCTTTTACACCACCTCCCATGTACGTCTCCATGTGATACATTGCAAAAATGCCACAATCAACCTTGTTCTTTTCATCTCGCCATGGCAAATCAAGTCTCACAGCCCTCATTTTTTTTACAGCCGCTGCCAATTCATCACATTTCTTGGATTTCAAGTATCCACTAAACAACTTTCTCTGAAAAGAACAAAAAAAAGAGGTGCTAAACATATAACATAAAAGATTTTGACAAAAAACAAGAATGATATTATAAAAAAATGAAAGATAATCACCAAATTTGAAGGGCAACTCTGATATTTGGCAATACTACATCCTCCAACTGACGAATTGTCCAAGATGTGATATTGATTTCTCTTCATATCAAAGCACAGGACAAAAAAATGCTCGCTCTTGTAGATGGGAATGAAAAACTGAACACAAATAAAATAAATACATTATTACCCATGAGATTAAGTAGATTAAACAAATTGGTTTCATAATAAAAATAAAATTACCATATCAACATCTTTAACATGTGGATGAGCATCAGAACGATTGAATTCATCATCAAGATCATCTTCAAACTGTTTGAGATTATTTTTCAACTCCCATTTTCCATCACCTGTGCACACGGTGTATTTCTGAACACAATAAACATATATAAATACACTTTATAATAAATATGCATAACATATAAACTATCTTCGCAACTATCAAGTACTAATATAGCAATAACAAAAATCAAATTGTTCTACAAATTACATGCAACGATTGTCAACTAAATATACATCAGGAGATAATTATCTATGCATCAGATAACAACTAATATAGCAACAACAAATAACATATTGATATGGACAAACTATGCAAAATTGAAAAGTTAAATATGCATCGAAATACATTATATATGCATAGATGAATAACTAAAATAGCAACAATATAAAACTGAAACTTACACCTCAGTCAACAAAATAGTATATCAAAGAGTTGCAACAATAAAAAATAAACGGCATAATTTCAAAATTGGTCCTGATATAGCCACATTGGCTCATAGCGGTTCATACCATCACGGTTCGAGACCACCAAGTCGATTTAGACAAAGTCGACTCCTCTAGTAAGATTCCATGATACTCGGTCAAGGATCACGGCCACCGATCGAATCGACTAGCATATGTCGACTAGGATGAGTCGACCTCCGATAAGATAACGATCAAAAGCATTAGGGTCCATTAACGGTGGGATACAATCCAGTCGACTCGACTCGATACCTCAAGTCGACTGGAGGAGTCTTGCAGTTCGTGGTTCCCGATAGCTTTAACACACCTCAGCATGTTGAAGAAGAGCTAAGGATAAGAAGGAAGTTAAGGAAGGATCTAGATGCTGACTAGGAAGTAGGCAGAATATGAACCGACCAGGGTATTCTGGACATTTCCATTAAGTCGGCCGGGGCACTTTGGGGACTCCAAGTAAATGTTTTACCCCTATATAAAGGACTGAGGTAATCCCAAAACCCTAACTCCCATTTATTCCAGATCCTTTTGATCACTGCTGCTGCTCTGATAGCAGCTATCATCACCTCTCTCATATACTGACTTAAGCGTCGGAGGCTCTACGCCGGAAACCCCTCCGGCGTTGAGTTCTTGCAGGTGTTCTTGCGGCTCACAACAACGGTTCAATCGCCATCACATCAGATCTAAGCTCACCCGTACCGGTTCGTCCCAGATCCGGACGTTTTCTCATTAGACCGTTCCAGATCTGAGAAGAAACCCATCATTTGGCGCCGTCTGTGGGGAGCTCTTGAAGGAATTAAGAGCTTTACACCTAGCTTGGTTCTGTTTCCGATGGCTGAGAAGGAAGGAGTGCAGAAAAACTTGAACGAGGACTTCAGGGCAACATGGACGGACAAGCGACCTCCGCCGATTCCCAGTTTTAGACCACCGCTTCAGGTGCTGGGATTCCCACCTTTTGGGGCACACGCGCCGTCAGGAGGGCGTACCGGAGAAGAGACGCCTATTACCCCACCCGGAGTCAAGATCCCGGTTCTCACGCAGGGGGAGACCAGCCACGTGAGGGACACGAGCGGAGAGACAGGTGATCACGCATCAACCGAAATCTCTCTAAGGATGGGGAGACAGCCTGGGCGACTCGACCAGGAGGTAAGGCCACCGCCCCAAGGCGAGGAACAAATGGTGACCATGACGAGAAGCGAGATGCAGAGAATGATCGCAGAGGCAGTGGCGGCCCAACTCAAATGGACACCAGTCGAGCAACCAAGAGTCGAGCAGCCCAGGGTCGAACAAGCGAGGGTTGAACAACTCCAAAACGAACAGCAGCCCCCTGAGCGCGAACAGCAGGCGCAATCGCATGAGAGGCAAAACAGGAGGATAGACGAGGAAGAGTCCTCTGTCAGAACCGTCAATCCTCAAGCCAGAAACGACACACTGGAACAGCTGTTAGCGCAGGTCCGAGACTTGCAGGCTCGGGTCGAAGGAAGAAAGACGGGAAGCTAGAGGGGACACCCTTTTTCACAACATATTCTAGATGCCGACCTGCCTCAAGGCTTTAGGGAGCTCAATATCTGGTATGATGGGTCGACTCCCTCCCGACATCTTAGAAGCTTTGAAAACATGGCAGTACTACACCGATACAACGACCCCGTTCAGTGCCGAGCATTCCTGACGACCCTGCGAGGGCCCGCGCAGGATTGGTTTCACCAGTTGCCCCCGGGGGCCATCAGGGATTTCGACGGGTTTAGCTCGAGCTTCCTAAACCAATTTGCAAGTGTCAAAGCCCAAGAAAAGTCGTACCTTACTCTGATAGGTATGCAGCAGAAGGAAGGGGAATCACTAAGGGACTACGTGGCGAGGTACACAAGGGCGTGTGTCGATGTCCCCTCTTCCACTGAGGAGATCAAGTCGGGAGGACTCACTCGAGGGCTACTCCCGGGATTGTGCAGAAATTCCCTAGCAAAGCGGCCCGGAAGGACGTTTGATGAAGTTCTGGGAAGGTGCGCCAAATACATGAATGTTGAGGAAGCCGAAGCCGACTTTCTGCAAGCGGCTAAGCCAAAAACTGAGCCTCGGGATGAAAAGAAGGATAAAAAGCCGGTCCCAACAACTGAAAGGAAAGGATCCCCAAGAGCCGAGAGAGAGGGGCGACCAAGGGGGTGGAGAACAACCCAATATACTCCCTTGTCGGCCTCGCGCGTAAGAATACTGGAGGTTATGGAGAGAGAGATCCGCGACAACGTCGTCAGGTGGCCACAAACGAGAAAGGACGGGCCGACACAACCTAAAAGTAACCTGTATTGTCGATTCCACAAAGACTATGGCCATAACACCGATGAATGTCGGCATTGAAAAATGAGATAGAGAGATTAATCAAAGCCGGCCATCTGAAGGAATTTGTTTATAAAGATCGAGAGCGGCCCAGTCGATGAAGAGAGAGGAGCAAAAGCCCTCGAAAGAGGGCGAGAACACCCGATAAAGAAGAGCTTCCCCAAAAAAGAGGAGTAATTCATATGATATTCGGGGGACCAACTGATGGCGATTCAAACTGGGCTAGAAAAGCATATGCTCGAGGGCATCATGGAAAAACCGAAGTGCAGCAGGTCGAAGAAGATAGTCCGGTGATGAATTTCGGACCAGCCGACATGGGGACAGTCGAGAGGCCTCATAACGATGCCTTGATGATCACAGCCCAGATATCGGGCTACGAAGTCCAGAGAATCTTCGTCGACACAGGAAGCTCGGTGAATGTGATCTTTTTCGATTGCCTTAAACGCATGGAACTCGACATTGAACTCTCACCTCTTCACACTTCACTTTTTGGATTTAATGGCTCGGAAGTCGCCCCCCTGGGGGAAACTACTCTCGCTGTCGTCCTTGGGGAAGGCGACTTAAGGAAGGTAAAAATGGTACGCTTTGTTGTGGTCGACGTCGAGTCGGCTTATAATGTGATTCTGGGAAGGCCGGCACTCAACGCATTCCAAGCGGTGGTGTCAACCTATCATATGAAGCTGAAATTCCCAGTAGGAAATAGGGTAGGAGAGGCCCGAGGCGACCAGAGGCTGTCAAGAACCTGCTATCAAATTGCACTAAGAACAAATCAACGGACGGAGGGGAAGGAAGGAAAAAAGCCGATGATGAGCGAAAAAAGGCCAAGGAATTCTGATCTCGAACCCCACGGGGAGTTAATGGAAATACAAATCGGAGAAACAAAGGAGCAGACCACTAAGGTCGGGAAAGATCTGGAAGCCGAGCTACGAAACCAGCTGATCGCACTATTAAGGGAGTTCAGGGATGTCTTTGCCTTCACCCCTGAAGAGTTGACAGGGATCGACCCCGCTGTTATGGAGCATAAACTCAATGTCGACCCCCTCAGAAAACCAGTAAAACAGCGACTTAGACGTCATGGGGAAGAGATCGACAAAGCAATTGAAGTCGAGGTGGATAAGTTGCTGCGGGCAGGGCATGTAAAAGAAATCCAATTCCCCGAATGGATATCCAACACTGTGATGGTAAGAAAGGCACTAAACAAATGGCGCATGTGCATCGATTTCCGGGACTTGAACCTGGCCTGCCCAAAGGATCATTACCCTTTACCACGAATTGATCAGCTTGTCGACTCTACGGCTGGTTGCGAGTTATTGAGTATGATGGATGCATCTCAGGGATACCATCAGATCCCGTTATGCCCGGAGGACCAAAGTAAGGTGAGCTTCGTGACGAGTAAGGGGACGTATTGCTATGTTGTCATGCCTTTTGGGCTTAAGAATGCAGGAGCCACCTACCAACGGCTGATGGACCGAATGTTCAAATCTCAGATCGGACGAAATATCGAGGTATATGTGGACGACATCTTGGTAAAAAGTAAAGTCTCAGCCTCGCACCCGGACGACTTAAGGGAAACATTTCAAACTCTTAGGACGTTCGGGATGAAGCTGAACCCCAACAAGTGTGCCTTTGGAGTAAAGGCAGGGCGATTCCTGGGATATGTCGTCACAGAGCATGGAATCGAGGTAAATCGGGAAAAAGTGAAGGCCATACTTGACATGGCCCCACCAAGAAGCATACGAGATGTGCAAGTTTTGACGGGACGGATTGCAGGACTGAGCAGGTTCATTGCTCGGGCCGCAGAAAAAAGCTTCCCATTCTTCAAATTGTTGAAAAAGAAGTCGACCTTTTTATGGAGTGACGAGGCACAAACGGCTTTCGAAAAATTGAAAGAGTTCTTGGGCGAGCTGCCCTTGTTGACAAAACCAGAACCCGGCGACGAGTTGGTGCTCTATATATCTGTGGGTGCAGTATCACTAAGTTCGGTGTTGTTACGAGAAGAAGGAGGTGTCCAAAAGCCAATTTACTACACCAGTCGAGTTCTGCAGGGTGCTGAGACGAGATATTCTGAAATCGAGAAAGCCTCCCTAACATTGGTAATAACGGCTAGAAAGCTAAGGCCATATTTCCTGAACCATGTGGTGTTAGTGAGGACGAACTTTCAGCTAGGAGAGACACTGGGCCGGCCCACGGTATCGGGTCGACTCGTCAAATGGGCAGTCGAGCTGAGCGAATATTCGATCAAGTACGAACCAAGACGAGCCATAAAGGCCCAGGCCCTAGCAGATTTCATCCAAGAAGGTACCAAGGGGGAAGAAAAGAGATGGGTTGCTCATGTCGATGGGTCATCGGCGGCCAAAGGATCGGGTCTTGGAATCGTTCTCGTCTCACCCGAAGGCGAGCAACTTGACTTTGCTATTAGAATGGGGTTTAAAGCCTCGAACAACGAAGCCGAGTACGAAGCGCTAATCAAGGGAATTCAACTCGCAATTGGTGGAGGAGCGTCGGAAGTCGTAGCACATTCCGACTCGCAGTTAGTCGTTGGACAAGTGTTGGGAAACTGCGAAATCAAAGAAGAGCGAATGATGAAATACGTCGAAGAAATCCAAAGCCTTGTGCAGGGCTTAGAAAAGTTCGAACTAACGCAGATCCCTCGGGAAGAAAACAAACGAGCAGATTGGCTTGCGAGAATAGCAAGCTCGAATGAGGGAAAGATGGGAAGTTCTATCATTACAATGCACTTAGAAGGGAGCGTGTTGGGCGAAACAATGGAAGTCGAGGAAAAGGATGATTGGAGAAAGTCGATTCGCGAACTCCTACAGGGCCAGGTGCCTACAGGAGATAAGCAGGAAGCAGAAAGGGTGGCTCGATATCTGAGCAAGTACTTTGAAGTCGAGGGGGTCATATTCAAAAAATCACTGGTCGGAACTCACCTGCGATGCGTCTCCGAAGATGAAGGAAATGTCGTTTTAAAAGAAATACATGAAGGATGTTGCGGAGCACATATAGGATCGCGCGCCCTGGCGGGCAAAGCCCTACGAGCGGGATATTATTGGCCCAAGATGCGAGCGGCGGCCGAGCAACTGGTTCAGAAGTGCGAAAAATGCCAACGACATGGGCAAATCACTCACATCCCCGCCGAGTACATGACGACCATAAGCACCCCGATCCCCTTCGCGCAATGGGGAATCGATTTGGTAGGACCACTACCGATGGGGACGGGGCAGAGGAAGTTTCTTGTAGTCGCTGTAGACTATTTTACCAAATGGGTCGAAGCGGAGTCATTGGCAAAAATTACAGAGGAAAAGATGATCCAGTTCTTGTTCAATAATATCTGTTGCCGATTCGGAGTCCCAAAGGTCCTAATTTCTGATAATGGGACTCAGTTTCAGGGAAAACGAATTCAAGCGTGGTGTATTGACATGGGAATAAAGCAAAGATTTGCCTCGGTAGCACACCCCCAGGCTAATGGACAGGTCGAAGTGACTAATCGAACGATTTTCCAAGGATTGAAGAAGAGGTTGGAGAAAGCATCAGGGGCTTGGGTCGACGAGCTGACAACAGTCCTATGGGCTTATAGGATGACTCCAAGAAGCTCGACAGGCCAGTCCCCATTTCACATGGTTTACGGAATGGATGCACTTCTGTCTATCGAAGTTGGTTTAAATTCGCACCGATCAACATTTTACGAGGAAGGGAAGAATGAAAGGATGGTCGAAGAGGCTCTCGACATGATAGAAGAAGGACGAGAGGAGGCATGGGTGCGGTCCATGGAATATAAGCAGAAGATGCGTGCCGCCTTCGATAGGAAAGTCCGTATCAGACGATTTCAGGTTGGAAATCTCGTCCTCAAACGAGCAGATGCCCTAAAACACGTTGGGAAGCTTGAAGCTAACTGGGAAGGACCATACACAGTCACCAGGGTGCTCGAGAGAGGCGCATATGAGCTCGAAGATGTGGAAGGACGACAACTGCCACGATCTTGGCATGTTACCCATCTCAAGCGCTTTTATGCTTAGTGTTCTCAAATTTGCCTTTTGTACTGAACCACGATCAAATCATATTCA